AGAGAGAGAGAGAGAGAGAGAGATGCAGAGACACAGGCAGAGGGAGAAGCAGGCTCCATGCAGGAGGCCTGACGTGGGACTCCAGGATCAGGCCCTAGGCTGAAGGCGGCGCTAGACCGCTGAGCCACCTGGGCTGCCAAGACCTTCACTTCTTAAGGCAAGCCCCAAATTAAAATGCAGTGCCCCAAAAGGGTAAGACGTCAGTTTGTCAGCATGTGTCCTACCTACCGCACTGGGCACTGGCCAGCAGGCCCTGGAGGAGTGTGGCTCAGGGGACACGTGAGAGGAGATCCTGAGGCTGGGAGGGCGGGGGTGAGCCAGCACCGGGGATGGGTCTGGGGCTGCAGGCAGCTCTGGATAGGAAGGGTCCAGGGAATGGAGCAGAGACATCATTATTTCAAATCACATTTCTGAGTGGCGATGCCCGAAGGCAGTGTTTGTGCGTGTGTGGGTGTGGGTGCAGGGCATGATCATGCATCGCTGTGACTTGGCCAGTCCTGGACCCTTCCCCTCCCTCTTTGACTGGGCAGTGACCCCTCTGATACACAGTCATTGCCCCACCCTATACCCCCAACACACACATATTGGTGTTCAAGGGGAGGGTGCCGGGGCCACCGCCAGGCTCACCCTGACGCTCCAGGACACAAGGAAACTCTGTTCTCCCTGGTGGCTCAGCCATCCGCACTCCCCACCAAACTTTTTCTACCCTCTTCAGCCTCTGTCCCACTGACCCGTCAGATCTGCATATGGCCTCCGCTATCATTTTTCCTGGGAAAATAAGGGCCTCCCATTGGGGACTGGCCCAGGCCACAGGGCCCTGTGTTGTGGATACCAACTTTTCCTTTCCTGTCCTTCCAGGGAAGCCCTGAGTTTTCCTTCCAGAGCCCACCCTCCTTTTGAGCCTGGGCTGCATCCCTTCCCGCTGCTGGGACCCCACTTCCTCCCCACTGCCTACAAGCATCTTCAAGTCTCCCCTTTCCTGAAACACCTTCAGCCAATCTGGCCTCCTCCAAAGTCGCTCTCCGACCCCCACACTCCTCTGCCTGTGGCCTAGCCAGGCCTTCCCTGACAAGAAGGCCTCACTTTTCCCCTGAAAGTGCCCTCGGAGGCCACCAAAACAGAGAGCCATCACTCCCTCCAGCGCCTCTCTCCTCTGGCCACAGACTCTTGGCTTCATGACCTTTCCTCACCCCCTTGCTCCCACCCTGTCTCTCCATAATGCAATCGCCTCCACTAGATACACTCCCTGCCCCCAAAGAGCTGGCCATCTCCTTTTCTGGTCCCTTTCATGCCATCTGGGATGATATTTCTTCTAGTCCCCTAGGTGTTTCCTAGGATGCTGGTTTTGAACTTCTTTCTGCCTTAGCAACCTCATGTGCAGACTACCACCTCTAGTCAAATGGCTCCCAAGTCTTTCTTTCCAGCCTGCCCTGGGCTCAACCTCCTGTCCCTCCCGGACATTCCCACCTGCTCATCAACTGTACCCACCTCCACCTCACGCTGGCAAAAAGTGAACTCACCGCTTCCCCTTCCTCCGTCTCTGAGCCAGCCACCTACCCCTGCCCTGGGGGGCTTTCGGATCATGTCTGTTTTGCACATTCTGTCTCTAGGGTCTCTCCCATTTGCTTCCTCTCCCTCTTGGGCTGCACACACAAGTCAAGGCCCTCACGAGCTCTTGCTGGGACACCTACTGTAGCTTTAAGGCTGGCCTCTGTCCACGCTGCCCCTACCTGTCCAGCCCCCTCTCCCAGGCTGTAGTCACATTCATGGTCCCAAAGTACTGCTTGGATCTGTCACTTCTTTGTTTGAAAAAAGTTTCTAAGCATTCTATTGCCCCTGTTGTCCATAAAGTACAATCTAAATCCTCTGGTCTGGGTTGGAGGCCTCCATAATCTGACTCCCAACTTCTTGCCCAAACATATTTCAACCCCATGAGCCCTATAGTGTAGCCATACTTGCTGTTCCCTAGATAGACCCAGTACTGCCCCTCCACCTCAGGCCCGTTCCTTTGTTCATTTTGTCTTCTCTGTCAATAATCGATTCTTTAGTTTTTGCATAAACTCAAACTGGGCATTCAAGGCCTACCTCAAATACCTCCTCTAAGGAATCTTCTTTATTTTCCCTTCTCAACACCCCAGCTGGAGTGGTCCCTCATCCTATGACCTCTCATGGCTCTTTCTATTATCTTATCTGGCACATGTAATTTTCTGTTTTGCATGGGAGTTATCTATATACATGCCTCATTTCTGCCTGGGCAGCTTGGATCCCTTGACTCGTCTTTCTGTTCCCCATAAGACTTGTCACAGAGTGTTGTCTGTGGTTATTGCAGAAAGGTCAGGAAGTATTTGATGAATGGATGGGTAAAGCAATATATGACTGGGGGATAGATGGTTAGTGGACGGATGGATGGATGGACAGATAAGTGGATAGGCAGATGGATGAGTGGATGAATGGATGGAAGGATGGACAAGTGGAGAAATGAGTGGATGCGTGGATGGATAGAGGGAGGGAAGGAGGGAGGGATGGATGGAAGGATGGATGGATGGATAGATGGGTAGATACATGAATGAATGAGTGTTTGGCTCTAAGCCTAAGCCAAGTATATAGCTAGTTTGACAATGGCTGTCAATACAGTAAAGATCAGAGAGGAGTGAAAGAGAGATAACAGCTCTTTGAATATGTATTAGAGTTGATTCTGATCCTCAGACACCTAGTTATAAAAGCATTACAAAGCGAGAGCTAAGAAGGCCGAGAAGGATAAAGGTCTGGAATGGAGTCTTTCCACGAGCACCAAATACCTAGTGTGACCCAGGAGCTTGTCTTGGAGAAGCCTTGACTCTAGAATTCTAAAAAGACTTGAGAAATGTAGCAGATTTTACTCTATCCCCACAATGCACCTGACACGGTACTAGCTAGGCACTTTGAACCATGCCGGTGCTGAAGACACATTTTCAGCTTCATGACTCTGGACAACTTTTTAACCTCTTTGAGCCTCTGTCTTCTCATCTGTAAAATGGGTCTACCTTATAGGGATGTCGGAGGGGATGAAACAAATCATCCTTTTAAAGTGCTTATTAGAGGCGCCTGGCTGCCTCAATTGGTGGAGCATGTGACTCTCCATATTGGGGTTGTAGGTTCGAGCCTCACATTGGGTATAGAAATTACTTAAAAATAAAATCTTAAAAATAAGTGCTTATCAAAGTACCTAGCTTGAGCATTCAAAAAATGATGGTAATTGCTTTGTTATTTTGCCCTCCAGAAGTTAGCACTCATTCTGGTTAAGTGAAAAAACATGTTCCTGCGTTAGGCAACCTATAATCAAGGTCTGTTGTATGGGCCTCTTTTTCAGTCCTGCTGGAATTCAGAGAAGGGTTATCAGAAGGACTAGAATAGTAGGAGAGGCCTCCCAGGGGAGGAAGGCTGGGATCGACCCTGAAGGACAAGTGGCATCTGGGAGACAAGGAAGTGGACAGAGAATAGTGGAAGGGCATGCGCAAAAGCAGAAGGTGGAAATGAGGGCTGCTCGTGGGGCCAGCAGATGGTTTTGGTGGTGGAGCCAAAGAATGGCCTGATACAAAGTAATAGGTGATAAGATTGGGAGCATTAGTGACCTCAGTCTTTCATTACCCCCTGTGGTTAAGAATGGCTATGGAATAGACATCTAAATTCATTAGTCCTTGGGGAAATAGAAGTAATAATAGCTAATACTCTACATAGAATTTATAGTGTTTTAAGCACTTGACATGTTATAACTTATTTAATACTCAGAGCTGCCCCATGACATGGACACTAGTACTATCTTCTATTTTTACAGATGAGAAACATGAGGCACAGAGAGAGTAAGTAACTTGCCCAAAGTCACACAGCTGCTGTAGCAGAGTCGGTACTCATCCCCAGGTACTCTGGTCCAGAGCTCGTGCTTTTAACCACTACTTTAGGCTGCCTCTTCCCCGTCCCTGCTGTAGCCATCAGCTCTCTTCACTCTAGGAGGCTTATTGCCAGCAGATGGAAAGCTAGCCTCACTGCCACCATTGCTGGAAGCTCAGCCAGGCATTCACTGAATGGTTGTTAGGTGTCCAGGACTAGGGGGTGGGGGGACGGGAGGAGTGCTAAGGGAATTAATGAAGGCTGAAGGTGAAGACACCAAGGCATGGGCTGTGGCCCCAGGGAACTCATAATCTACTGCAGCAGACAAGACCCAACTGTCTAGGAATGGAGAGCAGTGCGGGCTGGGACGCCTTCCTGCTGAACCTCAGGGGTGCTGCCTTGCAGTGAAGCAGCAGTTCGGAGGGCAGCGTCAGCACAGGCCCCCTGAGAAGCCTGCCTACAGCTGGGATGTGGCCTGGGCCCCAAGGGGGGCTCTGTCAAGTGAGACAGACTGTGGGATGGGGACGGGGACAGGGACGCGGGGGTTGGGGGTTCCCTCCAACTTCTCCTCCCTTCTTCCCTGCCAAGGAACCCAGGGCAGGCAGGGGACAGGGGCAGGGACCCAGGGAATGTGGGCTCCCTCCAGCCTCCCCTCCCTCCTCCCTGAGGCCTCCTCCCACCCCCAACCCCATGACCGGACCGCGCCACGCCAAGGCAGTTTGGCTCCATCCTGTCCTCCCGGTCTGTCCACCTCGCAGGGTGAGCAGGTGCCTCTGTGTTAAACCCGCCTGGGCTGCGGGGCAGAGGGGGCGCCACGGGCCGCTGATTGCTCGGGAGTGGGCCAGGGGCCGGGCCAGGGGAGTGAGACGCGGGGCCTGAGACCCGGCTGCCGCCCGGGGCGGGGAGGGGCAGGGCGGGGCAGGGCGGGGCAGGCAGGTGTCACCGGGCCGGAGCGCGGAGGCCGCCGCAGCCGGACCCCTGCGGGCATTTCCTTTCCAGCCGGAGAACAGCGGCTCCGGCCCGAGCGCGGCCCGAGCGTTTCCCCGCGCTCCGCACGCCGCCGGCGCCGGCCCCGGGCTGAGGCCGGGCCCCTGCCTCTCCCTCACCCGCGCCCCCGCGCCCCGCCCCCCCAGGCCCGGCACCCGCTCCACGCGCGGACAGTCGCTGAGGCATGAGGACGCCACAGCCCGGGGGGACGCACTCTCTGCTCTCGGGGCCCCGAGCGCGCCGCGCCCAGGAGCCGGCCAGAGCCTGACGCCGCGTCGTCTCCCCGAGCGCACGGGGCTCCGCGGCGACCGACCGGCCAGCTCCCTGCTGCATGGAACGGCTGCAGAAGGTGCGCGGGGCCGCGCCCGGGGGGCGGGGGGGGTCGGGTCGGGTCGGGCGTCGACGGTGCCACCTGCCGGCCGCCCGCAGCGCCGCACCCCGGGGCCCAGAGGCCTAGGGCAGCCCCCCCCCCCCCCCCGCCCCCTCCCTCCGCCAGGCCCCCCGCCCGGTGGAGAGCCCCGCCCGGCCCTGGCACGCACGCTCATTCCCACCGCCCGCCTTTCACTCTCCCCAGCAACCACTTACCTCCCCTGGGAGCGTCAGCTCCTCCCGAGGCTCCAGTGTTCCCGGCTCTCCCTCCAGCATCGTGGTGAGTACCTCTCGGCCACCAGCACCCTCAGGCTGGGACCAGCGGGTGGGGTGGGGACCCGCTGGGCACTTCAGCCAGAGCCTCCCCGACAACAGCGACCGACCCTCCTGCCAGGGCTGGTGGGCAGAGACAACCCAGAAACCCAGAGAAGGTTCCCCACGGCCACCTTCTACTGGTCTGGTCCTGCCTCATTGTACCCCAAGTGTTAGGTGAAGGACTATCATCTTTTAAGGTGACTCTCTAAACCCTTAAAATTAAAAAAATACACACTACTAACTCATACGAGCTGATGGCTCAAATGGCTGTCCCTTTTCTTCCTGATAAATTGCAAGTCTAGCTGGTAAGGCCAGGATTCTAGGTGAGGCTTTCGGCACATCTGTTCCACTCCTACCATTTCCCTCCAGGCCAAGATGGACAACCAGGTGCTGGGCTACAAGGACTTGGCTGCCATCCCCAAGGACAAGGCCATCCTGGACATCGAGCGGCCTGACCTCATGATCTATGAGCCCCACTTTACTTATTCTCTCCTGGAACACGTGGAGCTGCCCAGAAGCCGGGAGGTGAGGGGTGGGAGGCTCCTCTTGGATGGAACTTGGGGGAAGGGCTCCCCCAGCCACACAGGGAAGGAGGCAAAATCCCTCTCCTGCTTCCTTTCCTGGCGGCCAGATTCCAAAACAGGAAAGGGAACTGTGGGTAGAAATCAACCAATGGTCAACCCAGTGTTCGTGGAGGGCAGGCAGAGACAGGCTGGAGGACGGAGGGGAGCTCCATGCAGAGAAGCCCGGAGGCCCGGTTGATTGGCAGCCTCGCAGAGCAGGGGGTGGAGGGTCGTGGAGGAGAAGGCTGGCAGTGGACAAAAAGTGCAAATTTGCCAAAAGCCTTCGGGAACACTGCACTGGGATTCTGAAGTCCCAGTGAAGGCGTGGTTTGTTTCCCCTCCTGTACAATAGAGGTGATACATCCGCCCCCTACCTCCCTCACCGAGTACTTGAGTGCCGGAGATAACACATGGCAGCTACTCTGTAAACCATGTTCCAGAAAGGGCTAGTGTCATGGCTGAGCCTTGAGCTGGAGGCGGGCTGTGGGGAGACTTACTACTCTGCAGGGAGCCCAGACTCCATCCTGGATACTTGTGGCTCCTGGTCCTTCCCCTGGGCTCTAGGCTCTGTGGACAGGCCAGAGCCACCTTCAGTTGGCCCCCAGAGCACAGACACACTGCTGCAAGATCCGTGGCTTCTTCGTGCATCCCAAGAAAGACAGGACTCTGCCCAGGAGAGCACTAAGAGGGAGAAGGATGGAGGGCCAGTGCTGGGAACTGGCAAGGACTGACATAGAAGACGTGGCTCAGAAATTGGCCGGGCCAGGGTGCAGAGTTGGGTGGTGGTGGGGGGTGAAGTGGCCCCTCCGGGGATCTAGGGATGAGGATTTACCCCTACCCTCGTGGCTCTGACCAGCCTCCTCTCCATCCGCAGCGCTCACTGTCACCCAAATCCACATCCCCCCCACCATCCCCAGAGGTGAGTCTGCCCCACACCTGACACTTGCCCGGCTCCCCGCCCCCACACATATGCACAGCCCACGGGATGACCTGATCCCGTCGCCGACCAGCTCTGGGTCCATCTGTCTGTCTGACCCAGGACCTCATTTAACCCTGTCTCCCTGGGTCATACACCATCAGCAAGTTGAGTCCTTGGAGACCCTTCCTGTGCCCTGGGGTTGGGGGCTTGTGGGATGCTAGGGTGGGAGGACAGAGATGGTGGTGTGAGGTGAAGCAGTGTCTCCATGGGTTGGAGAGGGTAGGGTGGGGGACCTGGGAGCTCCAGTCAACCACACTTCTGCTCTGCAGGTGTGGGCGGAGAGCCGGTCCCCTGGAACCATCTCTCAGGCTTCAGCCCCAAGAACCACTGGGACCCCCCGGACCAGCCTACCCCATTTCCACCATCCTGGTAGGTTTTCTGGCAGTGTGGCTGCACACTTTCCCCAGACCTCTTTTTCTAACAGGGACCCAAGCTGCTGCTTCTCAGTCCCCCATTCTCTGGGGTATATGCTCAGCACAGAATGGCTGCACCCCTGATGCCCAGACCCCAGGCAAACCACCCTACTCCTCCCAAGATGATGAGACCTCTTGAGCCTTTCCTCCCACCCAACCAGAAAAGTGTGGAAAGTCCAAAACCCCTGAGGGACAGTTCCAGGCACTCAGGTTCTGTCTCAGGTCTCGGCTCTCGGCGGGAGCCCATGAATTCCCCACACCATCTCATTTGTGCCCTTCTCTTCACTGACCCGGCCTCACCCACCATCAGCATCTCCTTCTCATTGCTCTTGCTCCCTGTCCACAGAGACCACCCGCCCAGATTCCAACATCTACAAGAAGCCACCTATCTACAAGCAGAGAGGTGAGGGCTCCCCTCTGTGACCTGGGCCCCTTCACACTGCGGGCTGGGAGGCCACGCGAGAACAGCTGTTCGTAGCAGCAGATACTCTGCCCCGTATGCCCTTTCTTGTGTGCACTGTTTGTACACTCACAGTGTCCCAGGTGTGAGAAGGGACAGGAGAGAGAGCTGGGGGCTGGGGTGGGCTAAGGCGGCCTGGCTCAGGATGTGGGCTGACCCTGACCTCCACCTGCAGAGTCCACAGGAGGCAGCCCCCAGAGCAAGCACCTCATCGAGGACCTCATCATCGAGTCCTCCAAGTTTCCTGCGGCCCAGCCACCTGACCCCAACCAGCCAGCCAAGATCGAAACTGACTATTGGCCGTGCCCTCCGTCGCTGGCGGTCGTGGGTAGGAGACCATGCTGGAGGGGGCAGGGGAGGCCCAGGGCACTGTCTCACAGCCCTGTCGAAACTCATGAACCCACCTTCTCTCTCCCCACTGCCACCCTACGTACTACATGACCTCCTGGCTCTCTTCATGACCTCCTGGCTCCCTTCATGACCTCCTGGCTCACCGTTATTCCCTGCATTCCTCTAGCTCTTGGTTATGTGGCCCTGCTTGTTAGTCTTTCACTAGCTTTCCATTTACTTATTTGGCCACTCAGCATACATATCTTAAACACCTGCATCCCAGGCTCTGTGACAGGAGCTCTGGAAGAGAGAAGGAGGAGTGAGGCAAGGTCCTGGTCCCCAGTGACTTTAAGTTGTGTGACTGAGTGTCGCCAATTCAGCTTTACCATAAGGCTAGAGAATGGTACTTTTATTTTGCACGAGATGGCTTGTCACATTCTCTGGAAGGTGCACAAGGCAGCACCTGATAAATACTTGGCGCGTGAATGGCTGATTGATGAGCCTGCTTTTGCCTGTGTTCCCCAGAGACAGAATGGAGGAAACGGAAGGCCTCTCGGAGGGGGGCAGAGGAAGAGGAAGAGGAAGAAGATGATGACTCCGGGGACGAGATGAAGGCTCTCAGGGAGCGTCAGCGAGAGGAACTCAGTAAGGTAGCATCTCGCTTCGCCCACGTCTTCTTGGGGACCAAAGGCCTTGGGCTCTAACTCTTCTGTCCTAAAGAACCTCCTAGTAGAAACATGAGGGATTCCCCTTCTTCCCGGGACACCAGGTTGCTGCTACTGGAGGGACACCAGGACTTCATGCTACTTGGGGGGAACACCAGTTAACTTAGGGTTAAAGGAAAGAAAAGCCCCCTCCCCCCCCCCAAACCCAGTGCCAGGATTCAGGAAGGCTAAATTCATGGGAAGAGGAGCAGGGAGAGAGCAGGCTGCTGTCGTCCAGGGCAGCAGAGAGGGTGTCAGGAGTCATAGGAAGGCTAGTGACAGTGGCCTGGGCTTGTGCTCTGGGTGAGTAACCTGGGATGCAGAGGCCACTCAGATACAAATACCAAGCAACGCTGCCTCCTTGCTCTCAAGGGTGGCCAGACCCCGAACGGCAGTGCCTTAGACCAAAATGACAGGCCCCACAGGCTCCGGGGCACAACCCCAGCCCCTTGGGAAACCTGTCCCCAGTCCTGCCTGCGGATACTCAGCTCCAATGGAGATGAGAAGTGAGTATAGAAGTCTTGGGCGCATCTTCCTTTCTCCTTCCCCAGGTTACTTCCAACTTGGGAAAGATGATCTTGAAAGAAGAGATGGAAAAGTCACTGCCTATCCGGAGGAAAACCCGCTCTCTGCCCGACCGGACACCCTTTCATACCTGTGAGTGCCATGAATGGGGCCCCGAATCACCCGCAGAATCTGTTTGTCTATCGTGTGGCCGGCACTGTGCTCCTGTGGTACAAGGGACAGAAGATCCTGTGCTGGCTCAAGGCACTCATGCTCTCCTTAGGGCAAGGATACCAGTCATGGAATAAGACTAGATGATAAAAGATAGGATTCGCTACAGCAGAACTAGCAAATTATGTTTAATTTACCAGATGTTTATTGAGTGTCTAATATATGGTGACACAGGAGATTATAAAGAGTCCAAAAATATACCGTCCGTCAGTAGCTTCCAGTCCACGGGGAAATTGACATGGAAATTGGGGTCAGTGCAGTGGGGCAATGTTGTGGTGACATGAGAGCACACAGTGAGTGCTTCAAAGAAACTGTGACAGGACCTGGGGCCGGAGGGCCAGGGGTAGTGATATGTGTGGGTCACTAGGTCTTGAAGAGAAAGACAAAGTGAGTGGTGGGGGGAGGGGGGTGGAGATGGGCATTGAGGACACTGGGGACAGTGCTGGAGCAAAGGCAAAGAACAGGAAACATTCTGGCCAGCTTACAGGGCCTGCAGGAACCCAGAGTGTGCCCCAGGGTGGCAGGGATTAGCCAGAGAGATAAGGTGGCCTGGGCTCTGGGTATTATGCCTCTAATCATGGGAGTCTAGCCTGGACTTCCCTAGAACATCAAGGCTGGAACAGAGGGAGGGAGATCTGAGAACCCCAGCTGAAAGTATGAGGCGTCTAAAAGCCTAGCATCAGGAGTCACACAGCATCACTCCTCCTACGTCTTGTTGGACAGAGCAGCTTAGCAGGCAGCCTAGACTCAAGGGAAGCCATGACTCAAAGGCACACAGGCCCGGAGATAACATGCAGGCCATCTTCTGAGACACTCCACCACATTTTCCAGAGGTCTAGGTAAGGGCTAAAACTACACATAGTTCCAGAGAAGGGAGGTGGGCTTGAGAAATATATAGAAGATGGAGTCAACTGGACCGAGTGGCTGATTGGACATGGGAAGGGAGGGAGAGCCGAGTTGGGATCTTGGCTTGGGTGCTGGTCGGGGATTGGCTTGGATTTGGGGGAAGGATGAAGGGACTGGTTTGGGACATCCTGGGCTTGAGGCACCTGTAGGTGGGAGCCAGGTCTTGCTCAGTTGGAAGCTTGCAGGATGAGTTGAGTTTTCAGCTTGTATATAGTAGCAAGACCTTGAGAAAAAATGGGATCATGCAGAGAAGAGAGGGAAGGGAAGATGTGAAGGCTGAGCCCTGGAGCTGTGCCCTGGAGTGCTCCCCTCAGCAAGATCCAGGATGTGGGAGGCAGGCGTCAGGCCCCAAAGGCCTCTTTCTCTGTGGGCTGGGGACCTGGGTCTGGGAGCAGGTCACAGGAGAAGTTGAGGCTGTCTGCTGAGTGGAAGCAGGGTGAGGCTGGGTGGGTTGGGGAAGGTTTAGACTACCCATTTGCAGGGAAGGGGAACCAGCGCAAGGCATTCATCTGTAGTGAGGATAATCTAGCAGTGTGGGCTTTATCACCATGGACTGCAGGCAAGAGAGGAGCTGGCTGATGCAGGGCTAGAGTTTTGTAAGGCAGGTGCTGAGGGATGAGGGGCTAGGGGAGCTGCTGAGTGGTGGTGAAAGTAGTGATATACCTAACTGTGGGTCGAAGGTCAGGGGCGGGGGTGGGGGGTTGGAGATCAAGACCCCGTGGGTCCCATGACACTGATGAACAGACATGCTGGGAGTGAGGTTGAGAAGAAGTTACAAATAAGGAAGGGTATGGTGTGGTAGCTGCCAAGTGCGATTCCCAGGCTTCAGGCATCAAGGTATTGCAGGTGTGGACAAGACCAGGGGGTGGCCATTTGAAGGGGCTGCCTTGTGGGGGGTGGACGTGAAGGCCACTGAGATGGGATTCAAGGAGCCGTAAGGGTCATATGTACATGGACATGCACAGGTCACTGAAAGTCCCCAGGATGATATTTCAGGATGAGTGGGAAGAGTTACAATAGGACCTTTTTAGAAAATGTAGAATAGTGAAGGCTTGAAGAAAGAGGCAGATGGAGAGATGCCCTGAGAGTTGGATTCAATCTTTATGTTCCACCAGATTTTGCTATTTAGTCAAAATTAGCTTTTTAACTTCCATTTTGGCCTTGCAAAGTCGAATGGCCAAATGTCTATGTCATCATCATTTTTGGCATCCCTGATCTTATATGTGACCAGTGATCACATGATTGCATAGGTTATGGTCATAGCTAATCAACCTCAACAATTTCAGAATTTTTTTCTAAGATTTTTTATTTACTTATTTGAGAGAGAGACAGTGAGCACATGTATGAGCAGGGGGCGGGGCAGAGTGAGAGAGAGAATCCCAAGCAGACTCCATGCTGAGCCAGGAGCCCGATGTGGAGCTTGATCTCAGGACCCTGGGATCATGACCTGAGCCGAAATCACATTGGACACTTAACCTACTGAGCCACCCAAGCACCTTCAACAATTTCAGAATTATGAACAGGCGTGTCATTCCAACTTCATGGTAACATTGAAATGGTCACTTTCAAACATAAATAAGCATTCTAAAAATAATTTGAAGTGAAAATCTTCCTATGTGCTTTGTTGGTTAAAATTCTATCAGCTACTTGAAATATAAATGTATACTTATAAAGTGAAATGCTTCAATAATGAATGATCATTGTAGAAACAGATAATTTCCTGCACAAAATTAAAAAGTATTTTTAAAAATATTAAGAAAAAACAAGTTCCTCAAAATACATTTCATGCTCACTAAACTTCCAAGCCACAGGTTCTAAAAGAGTGTTTTAAGAAGACAAATCTGTATATCCTTTAGTTTTGAATCTATCAAGGCTAAAATCTTCAAATAAAAACATTTATCAGGACATCTGGTGGGCTCAGTCGGAGGAGCGTGTGACTCTTGATCCTGGGGTCATGAGTTCGAGCCCCATGTTGGGTGTAGAGATTACTTACACTTTTTTTTTTAAGATTTTATTTATTTATTCATGACAGACACACAGAGAGGAAGAGAGAGAGGCAGAGACACAGGCAGAGGGAGAAGAAGGCTCCATGCAGGGAGCCCGATGTGGGACTCGATCCCGGGTCTCCAGGATCCGGCCCTGGGCTGAAGGCGGCGCTAAACCGCTGAGCCACCCAGGCTGCCCTTACATACACTTTTAAAAAAATAGTTATCCAAATGATCACCGTAGAATGCCAATGATTTCTAGTATTTGGACATGAAAGAGTTTTGAGATTTGGCCAAACTAAGAATCTTAGTTACAAAGTTCTTTTTAGGACAACCTGTTAACTGAAAACCAATTTTCTTGAGTTACAATCTGTGGTGCAAGAAAGTTAAGTGATATGAAATGTGTAAGTTGAAAGTGACATCTGGTCTTGCAAATGTGAAGTCTCTATCTATAATTTTAAGTAAGCTTCATATGCAATGCGGAGTTTGAACTCAGGACCCCGAGATCAAGAGTCACATGCTCTCTCCACAAGTGGGACATCTACTGGCTGCCGGTACAGTCTAGCAGCTGATGGTGCAGAGAACATTATCATTTCTGCATTGTAATAAATGGCAAATGTTGGAAATTTGATTACTAGCATTGCTAATAATAATATTGTAACGATTCAGTAATTTTGACTAAATTTCAGACATATTTTTGTAGCCCATAGTGTCATTTTATGATGGTGAGCCTCATTGTCTGGCCGTTATTGGCTGACTATCCATTTTAACACTCAGGCATCTCATCCAGATGTGTATTTGGTTAGAGCGATGGCTCAGAGCCTCAGCACAGTGCCGCTTGCTGAAGGTAATGGGCAGGAGCTGGGAGCCAGTAGGCACCCCCACCCCTCGAGCCCCCCAGGTCCATGCTTCACTGCCTTGCCTCTGGCAGGGGAGGCCAGGGAGGCAGCCCTCTCAGGAATGAATGTCAGACCAAAGGCACTGAACAGGGCCTCCTGCTCTCTTCCAGCCTTGCAAGCAGGAACATCCAAGTCTTCTTCTCTCCCCGCCTATGGCAGGACCACTCTGAGCCGGGTAAGGTCCCTGACCAGAGATCACAGACTGGGACGGAAGAGTATGCCCTCGGGGCACCTTGGAGGGGCTGAGCTGCTTGGGTATCGGGGGAGCAAGAGACCTTTAAAGTGAAGGGAAACAGTGCAGACTTCTCCACCTTCCTTCTGATCCCTTCGTGTCCTTTCTAGCTACAGTCCACAGAATTCAGCCCCTCTGGGAGTGAGACCGGAAGTCCAGGTGAGAGGCAGGGCCACCCAATGCCAGGCGAGCTGGGCAAGGGGCCTGAGCAGGCCCCATGGCAGCCCGTGTCTGTGCTGCGGGCAGGGCTGTGGCTTGAGGTTGGGAGGCTGAGCCCGCAGGTTTGGAGGCCTGCTGCCCTTAGAGCTGCCTCTGGACAATAATTCTTCTCTCCTATAGGCCTGCAGGTGAGTGCCTTCTGGAGGGGAACACATGGAGCAGCAGAAGCAAGCCGTGGATGGGTGATGGGGGTGTTGGGGGGGTTGGGGCTGCAGAGTTGCCTGGCAAGGACACGAGAAGCCCAGGGTAAGGCTGGGGAGGTCTCCCTGCCCCACTCTGGCTCACTGCGGCTTTGGTCTCCCCAGAACGGAGAGGGCCAGAGGGGGAGGATGGACCGGGGGAACTCCCTGCCCTGTGTGCTGGAGCAGAAGGTGAGGGGCAGGGGCAGAGTCAGGGGTGGTGGGCAGGGGACAGAATCATCTACAGTGGGGGTGGGTCAGCCAGCCTGCGGGGAGAAGCCAGGGAAGCAAATGCACCAAGGGGTCGCTGATGGGAGGGGCAGCAGGGAAGTTGGGGGCAATGGTTGACAAAAACAGCATGAGCCCCAATGGCCCTTACAGGCTGATCAGGGGCCCAGGGAATTGAGGGGGTTACACTGACAAGAAACTCTATAAGCCTGAGGTTGCCCCCTCTCTGCCCACCCCGCCCCCCAGATCTATCCCTACGAAATGCTGGTGGTGACCAATAAGGGGAGAACCAAGTTGCCTCCAGGTGTGGATCGGATGAGGCTTGAGGTATGCAGAGGAAGTGTGGGGTGGGCCTAGGGGCTTCCAAAGGGGCAGCCTCCCTGGTGGGCCTGGTGGGGGAGACCTGGGGCCTCTGTGTGAGCGCTCCCTTAGTCATTGGCCCAGCCTTGCCCCAGCCCCTGTCTTTAAGCTGACTCTGGGTGTCCCCTTTCCAGAGACACCTGTCAGCCGAGGACTTCTCAAGGGTATTCTCCATGTCCCCTGAAGAGTTTGGCAAGCTGGCCCTGTGGAAGCGGAATGAACTCAAGAAAAAGGCTTCTCTCTTCTGACCATCCTTCCTGCTCCATGACTGACGCTCTCCCCTGCTGCTTCGGGGCTCTAGAGCTGGGGTCACTAGACCCCCAAAGCATCGTCTCTTAGGGGCGCAGGGTGGTGGTGGGGGGGATGGAGGTAGGGTTGTCTCCATTCCCCAGGTGAGGGGGAGCCAGGACCTCTGCAGTGCTGGGGTGTGGGACGTGAACTTGCTTTCCCATAAAAAGCCAGGGGCCTCCTTCCCTCCTCCTTGGTCCTCACCGCACAGGGCAGACTCAGTCTGGAGCCCAGCACACACAGAGTCAACGTTTGCACCCTATCCCCCCACCCCACCCCCACGGGAAGGTCCCCACAAGAGAGTGAGGAGAAAGGAAAGCAGCACTTAGTGGTCAGGCATGTTGGCAGTCTGGACCCATGGGTGGGTACAACCCTCAGGCTTGCGGGGGGAGGGGGAGAGTGGGGAGCAGCCAGGAGGGCAGGGAGAGCCCCAGGACTCTGTGCACCCAAGCACGCCTCCTCACCTCACCTAGGACAGCTTCCCCTGCACCTGGGTCTCTGGCTTCTCTGACTCTTAGCAGGAGCAGGCTTGAGCTCAGCCTCTAACAATGAAGCCACCCTGCCCTCCAGCTCACCCTCTCCTCTCCTGGTGACCCCTAAGCTTCAAAGCCTCTTGCTCCAGCCCTGTGGCTTCCCTAGAAGCCATGGCTTAGAGTGGAGATGTTGCAGAACCCTGGCCCACCGTCAGCCTCCAGGCAAGTCAGCTAGACTCCAAGCACCCAGGTCCTGTGCAGAACCCAGGCCTTCAGGCTCTCTTTGGATGGGATCGAGAGGCCAGGCTGTGTCCTGGCCACCAGGTCCTGCCCATTTCCATGCATCCCCACCATGCTGTCTAAAGAATGTAATTTATTGGGGCACCCCCAAGCTGCTTTCTCTCCTAACTCTCTGCCCTCCCTTAATCACACTCCCAGCTTCTCTTCTCTACAGATACATATGTGTATATAATTATATATATATTTTTGCCGGGGTCTGGCTTTTGTTCCTGCTCAGGCCCTGGTACCCCTTTCCACTGTGTGTGTGTGTGTGTGATAATGCTGTGGGAGGGGGACTCTGCTTGGAATTAAAAGGTTGCATTGGGTCCCCAAATCTATTTGTTCTTTCTGGAACACCTGGGAGCACTTGGGAGAGGCGATGCCAGGCTGAGGGAAGCCTTGGGGGTGAGGGTTCAAATGGGGACCACAGAGGGCTGGAAGAGGCCGGCATCACACACTGCCCCTTCCCCCAGCCCCTGGCCACAAAAGCAGAGGCCAGCCTAGCAGGGTCCCGTCTGCTGCCTCTTCTTCAGGGGCTGTGTGATGAAGTATGGAGGAAGGACAGAAGGTCACTCTGGAGACTAATACAGGAGCCGGCTCGGGGGCAAGCCCGCTTGTCCTCTGCTGAGGCCTAACTGCTCACCTTGGCAGTCAAGCTCACCAGCATCTGACAAGTTGCACCCTCCAGGGCCTGATACTCCCAGTTCTCTGGGGGAGGCCAAACACACAGAGAAGGTCAAGGATGCAGGAACAGGCACTAAGCCAACTGCTGAAGAGCAGGCAGGGAAAACCAAGCAATGGAGAAACAAACAGTGGGTGAGATCTAGTGGACCATGGGTGGCGTGGAAGCTGAGAGAGAGGAGGGGGCAATGCGCTCTCGATTGACTTGGCAAGGCCTCGCCGGGGGAGCAGACAGGGACCCGGAGTGCGGAGATCGCCTGGAAGATGGGAAAGAGGATTGTGGGTGCCTGTGAAGGGAGGGGCCAGTCTCAGAACCCAGATGTGGGTGCGTGAGGAGGCGTGTGGCCAGAAGGACCAGGAGAGCTGGAGTGTGAACCTAAGGACTGGACCTGATGCAAGTGTCCTACCCCCCGGGATGAGTCTCCACCCCTTTTGGCCAAAGCAAAAGCAAAGTGGTTAAGAATCACTCAAGTATGAACAATTGTTTTACTGTAGGAGTTCCGATGATACATCTACAACATTGTTTTATCCTTCCAACAACCTGTGAGGTCAGTAGCACAGATCAGTTGAAACCTCTCAGCAAAAAGAACATTGTAGAAGAGACTGTTCATCCTGAAGCCTGAAGCCGCACGCAAGTTAACAAGTGGGGGATGGAGACAGACCTCCCCATTTCTTGGCTACTAAGCCAGGACTCCCCAATATAAGCAGCTGCCTCCCAAGGGGTAGCTGGGAGGACAGCCGATGAGGCGGAGAGAGAGAAAGAGGAATCATCTCCGTACTTGTACACAATTTCAGGTATTCAGCCAATGTTTGGAAGGCTTACCCTGTTCCAGCACTTGGGATACAGTGGTAGCAAGTCTAGTACCTCCACATCCGCAGAGCTCCCGGGCTGTAGGGCATCAAAGGGTGCGGAGGCCGTGTTTGGTCACAGGTCACTGGAAAGTGCTTTTGAGGGGGCAGATTGCATGCTAAGACCTAAAGGATTTTAAGTTCTTGAGACCTGGAGAGGCTTGAAGTGGAACTGGGTCCCTAAAACAAAACCTTAGGAGAATCTCTCAGTGCCTCTTCCCACAACACGCACACACACACTTGTATGCAGGCACATGCATGTGAACAGATGCAAAACTGTGGTGATCACTCAGTTCAGGGGCTTCCAAACCTTTTTAGTAGCAAACTTAAACAAAAATCTTATTATTAGTAATTGGAATACATTTATAAGGTGAATTTTATAACTAATTATGATGAAAATGAATGAGGACCAAGAAGCTTTGATGACTAAAAAAATTTTAAGGCAAGATTTATATACAACAGTTGCCCTTTTATCAAATGCAGGAGCTAATTCACTATTGTATTTGGCTGCACAGTATCGGGAAAATCCTGACTCACACAGAGAAGTAGTCACAAAATTGTGGTGTTTTAAAAATGCTCACAAATCCATTCACACTCCTCCCATTGAGTTAGCACAGTGTCAATGTCCCCTCTTCTAGGATCTGGGCTTAGTGACTCGCGCATTTAAAAACAGTTCACCCAGCAATAGCCTTCTGCCCTCACTTAAATTGACAGGAGGAAAGGCTTTATTTATAGGTCTTCTCTCAAATGAGCTAATCTGGCAGTTAACTGCCACGGGGTCTGTTTGAAAATGCAGTAAAAATTCTGCATGTAGGGGCCCCTGGGTGGTTAAGTGTCTGCCTTCAGCTCAGGTCATGATCCCAGGGTCCTAGGATTGAGCCCAGCGGCGTTGACCTCCTTGGGCTCCCTGCTCAGCAGGGAGCCTGCTTCTGCCTCTCCTCCCCCACCTCCCTGCGCTGCTCATGCTCTACCTCTCTCGTTCTCTGAAATAAATAAAATCTTAAAAAAAGAAAATCCGCATTTAACTTCTGACTGCCTCCAAATAAATTTAACTATTAGCCTGTTAACCAGAAGCCTTAGTAATATAGTTAACACAGTTCGTATGTTATATGCACCACATACTGTATTCCTACAGTAAAGCAAGCTAGAGAAGAGAAAATATTAAGAAAATAATAAGGGAGAGAGGCACCTGGCTGGCTCAATTGGAAGAGCATATGATGCTTGATATTAGAGTTGTGAGTTTGAGCCACGTGTTAGGCATAGATCTTACTAAGTAATTAATAATATATAAAAAATAATAATAAACTTTTAAAAAATGTTTAAAAGAAAGAAAATCATATCTCTCTTTGGGACGCCTGGGTGGCTCAGCAGTTGAGCATCTATCTGCCTTTGGCTGAGGGCATGATCCTGGAATTCTGGGATCGAGTTCCACTTTGGGCTCCCTGAGGGGAGCCTGCTTCTTCCTCTGCCTGTGTCTCTGTCTTTGCGTCTCTCATGAATAAGTAAATAAAATCTTAAAAAAAAAAAAAGAAAACCATAAAAGAGAGAAATTACAGACCCAGTACTGCACTGTATTTATCTTTAAAAATGCATGTATCAGCAGACCTGTGCAGTTCACACCCATGTTGTTCAAGGGTCAACTGTACATCAGTGGGCTCTGATTATTTTGGCATATAGCACATATAACTGTGTCCATTGACTTTTATTAGAACTTTTAAAATAAAAATTTTTAAGTGAAGCCAAATGAAAGGTTATAAATTCCTGATGCACTTCTGTATTTGGGTAAAGCTGATTTAATACATACAGCTGCTTCCCTGACCTAGGAGGAAGCAGGCCCAGAAACCCACAGGGCAGGACTAGACTCAGGTCTCCAGCTTTCCAGGTCACCTCTCTGTGCACAAACATAGGCATAAAACAGGCTCATTTATTCCCTTTGTTCTTACACATTCTGGCCTAAAAGCCTCCTCTCCTTTCCCATAGGGCTCCTCACCGGGGCCCATTTACAGATGGTCTATTTAGTTCATTTTTCTCAAGCAGCTCTCAGAACTGAGATCCATTTGCTAGCCCTGTCTGTCCCCACCCCCTGGTGACTTAGTTGGGGCTCCAGGCTCCACTCCAGGGTACACAGCCATCTCTGGGCCGTTTGGGGCCTCCTGGGCCTCAGCCTGATGGGTGAATGGAGCCCAAGGGGCAGGGCGAGTGCAGTGAAACCCCAAGACCCCACAGCTCTCCATCCTTCAGCTTTGCAGTAGAGGCTACTCTCCTCCCTAGTGCAACCCTTGATCCCTCACCCCCTCATCATGTGTTGAGCAGAAATATATTTGGAACATATAACCAGCCCTCTCCTCAGGAAGATCTTTCCATTGTGGAGGGTGGTGGTGGAGGTGGTAGGGGAAATGGGCTTTAAATCCGTGGAGTTGTAGCTCAGACATTCCAGGAACCCCTACTCTTTTATACAAGTCCTGCCTGCCTACTTCTTGGGTTCAACCTTCCGGGGCAGAGGCCCTCTCCACATGGGTCACCCACCTTGTGTTTCTTTCCTTGGTGCTGCCAGGACAACCGGCCGGCCGTTCCTCCCTCCGCAGGACCGCCGGACCAGTGTCCTATCCACTAGAAGGAACAAGCAACAAGTGAAATTAATGTTAGTAATATGCTTCATTTAACCCAGTGGACCTAATGCATTACAGTGTCAACAAGTCATCAACACACAATATCACGAATGAACTAGTCTGCATTTTCTTTTCGGTGCAAGTCTTCAGAACCCCGCGTGTATTTACCCTCAGCACCTCGTAGCTGGGACTTGCACGTTCGTTTCAGTGCTCCACAGCCACGTGCAGCCTGGAGCTACTCTCCTGGTCGTGGGGGGCGGGGGGTGGGTTGGGGGCATCCAGAGACTTAGGGGACCCACACAATTGCCCCTTCCTCAGGGAAGAAACTCCCGGGCCCCCTCACCCTTCTCTCTGCCCCTGGCTCCTCCGACCAGCCCCTGCGGAACTTGCACCTGCTCCTCCGCGGCGCCCCTCCCTCCTCCGCTGAGGCTTCAGGCTCCAAGGGCCCCCTCGCTCTCCCCGGCCTCCTTCCCGACAGCGCACAGGGGGCCGGGCAGGGGTGCTGCGGGGGGGGGGGTGCTGCGGGGGGTGGGTTCTGCGGGGCCCCCAGCGGGCGGGGGGCCAGGGGGGTGCTTCTGCGGGCCCCCCAGCAGGCCGGGCCGGAGGGCCGGGGATGGGTGCTGCGAGGGTGCTGCTGCGGGGCCCCCAGCGGGCGGGGGGACGGGGGCGGGGGGTGCTTCTGCGGGGCCCCCAGCGGGCCGGGCCGGGGGTGGGTGCTGCGGGGGTGCTGCTGCGGGGCCCCCAGCGGGCCGGGCCGGGGGGCCGAGGGTGGGTGCTGCGGGGGTGCTGCTGCGGGGCCCCCAGCGGGCCGGGCCGGAGGGCCGGGGGTGGGTGCTGCTGCGGGCCCCCCAGCGGGCGGGCCGGGCCGGGCCGGGGCGGGGCGGGTCAGCCAGGGCCCCGCCCCCTCGCCGCGCCTCCGGGGCCGCCCTCCGCCCGCGAGCTCCGCCGCCGCCGCCGCCGCCGCCGCCGCCGCCGCCGCCCGGGAGCCGAGCGGGGCCGGGCCGCCGACATGCTGAGCCGGCTCGGGGCGCTGCTGCAGGAGGCCGTGGGGGCGGTGAGACCCGGGAAGCGGGGCGCGCGGGGCCTCGGCCGGAAGGGCGGGCGCGGGGCCGGGGGAGGGCGCGGGCCCGCTCGGGGAGGGCCCCCTCCCCCCTCCCCCCTCCCCCCTCCCAGGCCGCGGCGCCCGTCCTGGGCCTCCCCTGCCCCGGGTCGCGGCCCGCGCGGGGTCCTCCCTGCGCCTCCGCGTGGCCTCCCTCCCCGTCGCCCTAGTCCCGGCCTCTCCAGATCCTGCCCAGCCCCTAACGAACCCTTTTCCCCAAATGGCTTCCGGTTTATTTTCCTGCTCCGCGTTCCCAGTTTGCTCCCAGTTCCCAAACTCCTCTGTGCTGGAGGGCTCCCTCGTCAGCCAGACTTTCCTCCCCAAGGTGCCTTCCTCCTCCTCCCCCCACGCTCCTCCCGCCCTGGTCACCTGGCTTGGAAAAAGAGGTGCCCTTCCGCCTCCTGCTGAGCCCCCAGACAACCCCAGGACCTTAGTCCCGCGGGTGCGCCCAGCCTCGGCTTGGGAAGTGCCGGCCCGGCCACGTCCCGGGAAGCGGGAAGCGGGACTGTTCACAGCGGGGTGGGTGGGCGCCGGCCCGGGAAACAGCCCGCCCCAGGCTGTGGCCTCGCACGGCCCAGGCCTTAGCCACACTGACCTTGAGTCAGGAGAGGCCAGCAGCGGGGGTCTCGGGGCGGCCCTGGGGCCGAGACTCGGCGTCTTTGCGGCCTTCTCTCCGGGTTGAAGGCTGGTCGAGGCGGGTTCGCTTCATTCAGGGAGATAAAAGTGCATGCAGTTCCGACAGACTAGGCCCAACGCCTCCTGTTGAAAGTAACCCTGCCAAGAGCCTGTCTGTAAAGTTAACAGTTCTTTTGTCTCCAAGTAGAAGTCCTCCTCTAATGGATCGATTTAGTATATCGTGTCAGATTGGCTCCAGAGCCAAAACCGAGCTTATCATAAATGAGAACAGTCTCAGCCTTAAACTTGTGAAGAAAGTGAAAAGCTCCGCCCACCTGTCCCCAGCGCTGCATTCGTGGCATCCAGGTGCTTCCAGGGCAGCCCACCTGGGGAGGGGTTCCAGAATGATTTCGCCTTCCCCTCCCCCTTGTTTCCAAGCAAAACAGCTGTCATCTTAGAAAGTGATACGGCAAACTGCTACATGCTTCTCAGGGAAAACTCCCTACACCGGGCGGGTAGTCCGGCCAGACAGAGTCTTAGTCCCCAGAAGTGAATTTCTGTTGCTTCCAATGCAGGCACTTCAGCGTCGGTAGCTGGAGGAGAGATTGGTGGTCAAGGGAGATACTTTTGGCTCCTGAGTATAGGATATATAGACAATGCCACAGAATCTTGGCTGGCCCCCCTGTAACTGTCAGGAGAGAGGGGAACCCCTCTTCTCCCCTCCACCCCCACCCACATCAAGGGCATAGGTCTTTCCCTGCCCCCAGCAAGTTGCTTGACTCCTTGTCAAGGAGGAAGAGTGCTCCTTCCTGCCCTCTTCTGACAAAATAAGAACAGCAATTGTTCTGGTTTTTAAAAAAATATTCTTTATTATTATTAACAGAGGTTGTGAAGATTAATAATTTCTCTTTAAAAATAAATCATCTGCTACCATTTCTCTGGAGTTATAATAGCTAATAGTGGGATTCAGGTGAAGATGTTCCCCTTGCTTCCTTCTAACAGTCTACTTTGTTACAGTCTGTTACAGTTTGCTGATCATTGGTGCACCCCGGTCTCTTACTCTTACTGGATTGTTCCTTTTCACTGTAAGCCCAGCTCAAGGGTTTAGGAGACTACAAATGAATGAATCCTAAGGCCCATCGCAGAACTGGAAGATGATTATAGTGCCTGTCAAGGGTCAGAGAGCTTTCCTGAGACAAGGAACTATGGAAAGGATGTCTAAGGGAGTTTGCTGAGATCCTTAGTAAATATGAATGAGTAGTCACTATTGACAGCACCCTTTAGGGGCAGGCAGAACTAGAAAACACAGAATCTGAGCCCTCAGGGAGCTCACAGTCTAGTAGAAGAGGTGACTCTAATCCCACAATAATAGTATCACCCAGGACCTGGTGAGAGGCAGGGGCTCCATGTGGATGGTGTGTTTGGTGTTGATCCTGTAAGGGTGCTGCCCCGCACCACTAACTATGAAAGAAGACAAGCTTGCCTGGGCAGCTGAGGGTTGGGGCAAGAGTTTCAGGGCCTCTGATTCAGTGGTACTGCTTCTTTCTCCTGTCGTAATGGCCTTCTAACTGTTCTTGTCATCATCTCCTACATGCAACTGTCAGAGGACTCAGAGGACTCTGCCTGAAACACTGCTAGATGTCCTTGAGCTGCACCCCCTCCCACCCCCGCCTGCAAAAAACAGTCCTGACTTGGTGACTTGATGTTCAGGAGCCCACAAATTCAATCCATCCTTGTCCCAGACATGCTTTGCAGAGTTCCTTCTGCAGGAAGGAACTTCCTTCATCTCTAATGATTGAATTCGGGCTCCATTCTTCATGGTTTATTTCCAGGTTAACTGCAGTAAAGCCTACTCTGTACCAGCCCTCTCTTCCCAGGGGTCAGTTTCCACCTCTCCTGTGTTCTCACACCTCTTCCTATAGCTGAGTTATTCGGGGTGGTTTTTATATTGTTCTCCCCGGCACTGGGTGTTCAGCAGCCTTGTATTGCATTTAGCATCTAACATGGTGTCTTGTACACAGTAGGCACTCAGAAGATACTCCCTGAATCAATCAGTAGACGCTCAGTTCTGTGATGCAGTGAAGTGTGAGGTTAGAGAGAGTGGTGTCCAGGAAATCTGGTGAGGCCTTTGTGGAGCTGGTGGCCCTTAGCTGGGCCTCACTGGTGAGCATTCGGATCTAGCCAAATGTAGGGGGACCTAGGGCCTCCTGGGCAGAGCAGCCTGAACAAAGACAGGAGGAAATGAGCACCTGTGGTGACTATTTGATGATGCATTTTCTCCTGTGTATGTTTACTCTGCAAGGAAAGAGAACAAATGCTCTTTCTTGGAGTTTTTGGAGAAAGCAGTTGTTGGGGGTGGAGATGAAGAGATAACTTCTGGAAAAGGGGCAGGTCTGGAGCTTGCTCCTAGCAAAAATAGAATTCCCTGGGGCTCCAGGCTGTGTATCCCCAGCTCCTCTGGCAGCCTGCAGCCTTGAAAAAAGATGCAAGCATGGTATAAGTAAGCTGCTTTATGAATATTATGCTAACACTACACACCTGGCTGGACGAAGCTTTTCGATGGCCTCAAACACAGATTTTTGCAGACTCTCGGTTTGAGAAGGACCTGAAAGCTTTGTCATTGCCATGCTTTCCATCCATATCATTTTGATTTTGTTGTTCTGGGGGGTACTCTCCTGTTTTCTCTCTGTGTCCCTTTATTGTAGCATAACTATCTTGAGAGGTTCTATTTCTGTGTCTGTTCCCCCCACCAATATTCCTAGTTCTTCCAGGACAGGCCCTATGGAATCATGACATGTAGTAGGAGTACAGGATTTCCAGGAGAGAAGAGGGCTGGGAGAGGTGCTGAGTGATTGTCCTGGAGAAAATGTGTTACTGTTCCCTTTGAGAATCTGGATCACAGGGCCTCCTCCAGGGCCTAGTACCAACCCAATGCTTGGTAGACGGTGGAACACCTGCTCCGAGTGGCAGTGGCAACAGAGCCCGTAATCACTGTGATGACCACTTAGGCTGTGTCTCTGCTCTCTCCACAGCGGGAGCCCAGCATTGACCTACTAGAGGCCTTCGTGGAGCATTGGAAGTGCATCACGCACTACTACATTGAAAGCACAGGTGGGGCCTCGTTTTCCCTGGCGGGGGGAGCCTTGCATACAGTGGGGAGGAAGGTGTGGGCAGGGTCACCATGCCAGTCAGAGATGCAGGGAAAAGGTGACAACTGCCAGCCACACAGGAGTCGAGAATGGGGGCTGGCCCCACCCTGATCTTTCATGAGAGGAACCGTGCCGGTGGGAGCAGGAACTGTGAAATTGTGCATGTCCCTGAGCTGACTGCAAGGCAGAGGCTGAGCTCCACTCGCCCCTAGGTCCCAGCGAGGCAGACTGTCCAGGCCGGCAGTCCCCAAGTGCCTGTGCTCAGGGCTTACTGATTAAAAGAAAAGAAATGGAATAAATTCCTCTTTTCCCTGAGCTAACTTAGAGGGCGTGTCCCTTATAGAAATTTACAGTAGCAGAAGCGGAGGCCTGTACCATGCCTGGGTCCTTCTCCCCAGCTGACACCCCAGGGAGCCAGTTTTGGGTAATCTGGGCCCATCAGGATCACTCATTGAGGGGGTGGAATCTGATTGGCTGCTTTGTAGTCAGTACATTGGTATTGGTGGATAACGCTGGTTGCCAGGTAACCCTGTCCTGCATCCCTGGCTTTCTACCTCCTGGTTCAGATTGTGGTTTGATTCCAGTCTACCCCTTTCCTGAAGACTGTATTTCCAGCCTGAGCTAGCCCAAGAAATTAGAAAACAGTCTTTGGACACTCTGAGGAACACCCCGCCTTCTGAGAAACACCCCCCCGCCCCCCGGTCATTTTAGACCAGGTTTCTCCATCTTGGAACAGTTGACATTTGGGCTTGATCATTCTTTGTGGCACGGGGCTTTTGGGGGTGCATTGTAGTATGTTTAGCAGCAGCTATGGCTTCTACCCACTAGATAGATGCCAGTAGCAACCCCTCCCCATTTCGATAGCCGTAAATGTTTCTCCAAACATTGCCGAATGTTCCTGGGGGCAAAATCACCCCAATTGAGAACAACTGCTTTAAACTGAAGTCTTTTTTTCTTTTTTGAGATATAATTGATGTGACATTATATCATGTAAATTGGGTGTACAATATATTGATTCGATATATAGATATATCGTGAAGTGATCACCACAGTGAGTCTAGTTAATATCCATCACCCTAACTAGTTACCAATTTTTTTTCTTGTCATGACAAGTTTTAAGATCTACTCTTAGCAATTTTTAAATATGCAATACATTAACTATAGTCAACAGGCTGTATAACATTCTCAGGACTTATTTATTTATTTATTATTTTTGTTTTTTGTTTTTTAAAGAGGGAGGGGGGCAGAGAGAAATGGAGGGAGAGACTATTAAGCAGGCTCCATGCCCAGCGCAGAACCTGACACAGGGCTCACTCTTACAATCCTGAGCTGAAATCAAGAATCAGACACCCAACTGACTGAGCCACCCAGGCGCCCCAGGACTTATTTATTTTTTGACTGGAAGTCTGTACCTTTTAGACTGATATCTCTTGACAGCCCCAATCTACCAGGATGTAGGAAAAGATCCAGAACTGACTCAGGTCTACCTGGGGCTTCACCTGAACCCAATCCATTAATTTCCAGAACAGTCCCTAGACCATAGGTATGGGGGTGAGTGAGGTGAGCTCTGTTGCTGAAAAGCCAATGCTTTCAAGAAAAGCTAGGGGGTGCTCCAAGGCTGGTCCCAAAGCACCAAAACTTGCTTTACACAAATACTCTCTACCTGAGACTCTCACTAAGAAAGCTCCAGCTTCTCCATCAAGACCTTTGCATGATGGAACAAGTTTGCCTCCAAACCTGTGGTCATGCACGGATTTTTTTCTCCTTTGTAAAAAAAAGTTGTTTCTCCTTTCTGCCTCTTGTGAGTGTAAAAAGGACAGGAGGTTTACCTCTCAGGAAGCTCCTCCAAGACAGCTTCTAAATTCAGTGACAGAGAACCTTGATCCCACGGCTTCTCACTCAGGCCCAGAGCTGGCCTGAAGCCTGGGCAGTGTACCCTCCTATATGCCCCAGGGTTAGGAGAAAAAATGATGCCACTTCCCTCTGATAAAGTGCTAGAGTATGTACACGTTCCCAGTCAGAGGGCTGTATCCTGGGTCTCATCCCAAAGGTATTTTGTATTTTTTTTTAAGATTTTATTTATTTATTCATGAGAGACACAGAGAGAGTCAGAAACATAGAGGGAGACGCAGGCTCCATGCAGGGAGCCTGATGTGAGACTAGATCCCAGGACCCCAGGATCATGTCCT